ATGCTATTGAATGTCCATCAAAGGCTCAACTTATTGAGGAATGCACAGAATCCAACCAAGGTAAGGATTAGGCTCTCCCAAGAGGGATCCTAATAATAGGACTTGGAGGAGGAAGATAGTGCAAACCAAAGGAATGCACTATACTATTGAATGTCCATTCAAGGCTCAACCTCTTGAGGAATGCACAGAATCCAACCAAGGGAAGGATTAGGCTCTCCCAAGAGGGATCCTAAGAATATGACTTGGAGAACGGAATGGCAAGGCAAGCTCAAGTAAAGAAGTCACACCAGGGAGAGAAATCATCACAAAAACTTCTAAAGAAACCTTCAATATTTAAGCTCTAAGGAAAGTTCATCCTAAGGGAACTTAAAGGTATGTTAAGGACTTAAAATGGACTTAAAAGGGTGTCAACCTATGTACTAAGTGTTAATGGGAAGATTGGATGCTTAAAGTTGGCTACAAGTTCATTTAGAGGCCAAACTATGAGAAGGTGCAAGTTGAAACATGCAAACATTGGTCAGAATGCAAAATATGGGAAAAATAGGAGATCAGGTCCTAAAATCTTGATAAATTTTCTAAAGGATCCTAAAGGTGTTAGGAGTCTATGGTTAAAGTTTCAAGTCAAAGCTCTATGCCTAAGGGCACTAACAGAAAGTTAAACCAAGATGTATGCTATGGGAGATTCAAATGGGGAATGCTCTAAAGATGTGCTTCAAAACCTATTCAAATGGAATTTAAAAAATGCAAGAAAAATATTACAATATTCTACAATGTATCAACCAGCATCACAAAAAAAGTTAGAGATTAATATGGATTATTGAAAGAGAAAGAAAATCACAAAGCATAGTATGTAATTTTTCAATTATTAAAACACATTAAAAGAGGAAATATGCAATTAATTGAAAAATGCATTAAAACTGAAATTAAAAAATTTGACAAAATTCTAGACATATTAAACCACCTACACGATTTTTTCCAAGATTCATTGGCATCATTTAATATTTTTTCTGAATTAAAATCAAACAGCCATTAAAAGAAAAAGAAATCAAAAAGGAAAATAAAAGGGGGTGCAGTGAGTAACAGATTCACATGTAATTTGCTAATGGGCCTGCACACGAGGGGGTGTGGTTAGCGAAGACTTAAGGCCCAGCTGAGTTTCTTAAGTGAAGCGTTTCATGCCAAAGGGGAAAAGCCACTCGCGAAATCAAATCCTGGCCGTGTATTGAGATGACGAAGTCAATGCTCTATGCGATCAGACAGTCAGTATACGAACTAGAAATTTAAAATGGACAAATGGAGGGAATACTTTGCACGGTGGGGGCGGTGGCCGGAGAAGATTTCGGTCATCTTCTCCGGCGGTAATGAACAGTACCAGATTTTCAACCTTAACAAAAACTTAAATTTCTTATACCAATCTATTCCTCTCACTTCCTAGATCATGAATATCAAATTCTTTTTCGTTTTTATCCAATAAATAAGAAGAAATGTGAACAACAAGCTAAGGTACAATTTTCTAAAGTTTCAAGAAACTTAACCAAACTAATCCTAAAACCTTCTACCTATCCTAAGGAGTGCAAATCCATGAAAATGACACTAAAATTCCACAAGAATAGAGAGCATGGATAAGAAATAGGAACCTGGTTTTAAGCTTCAATGGAGGTGTCAATTGGCCATGGTTCTCACTCCAAATGGTGTAGAATGTTTCAATGGATCATCCTCAAGCTTCTAGCAATCTTGGTTTGGCTTGAATGTGTGTAATTCTCCAAAAACGAAAATCGATTTTTCTTCACTTTTTCTCCATAAAATTCTGTTGTAACTGCCTCCAAATTCTGTTATATTCTGTTAGGAATGATTAGAATGTTATATACAATGGATATTGAATGATTTGTAGCCCAATGGAAGCCCATAATAGTCCAATCCAAAATTCAAAATTTTGATTTTGAAGCTTTACAGAAATGGTGAAAACAAAGCCAAAACAACCTGCAAATTGACCCATTCTAGTTACTTATGATGTAAGGAATATGAAGGGCTGAGATTGATGCCTTGGAAATGAATGGATGGTTGATTTTGCATTTGTTGCTTAAAGATGAAGAAACCACGAATTTCCACATGTAAATGGCTTCAAAGTTGATTTGTAATTTGTCCAATGTTCTTAAAACATCAATTGGACTCAAAACAAGCACAAATATGACATGAATTGGTTCCAAAATGAATTGATTTGAATTAGCCCTTTTCAAGCTTCCTTTCATGATTTTTTCTTCATATATTTTCCTATCCAAGCCATATCAATGATCCCTTGAGGTTTGATTGACCAAATAATACCATTTTGAGCAACTTTCAAGTTATCAAGATTTTCATTTGAGGTATGCAAAGTGGTGAACTTGACCTATAATGAAAATGACTTGTAATCTTACTTTCCCCAAATACCCTTGACTTGTTAGTCTCATATCTTGAGTTCTACAAATCTAAATGAGGACTTCTAGTACTCTTTGGAAAGCTAAGATCATGAGGAACAATATTCATATTTATCAAAAGTTGAGGCGAAACATTCTTCTAGCTCAAAAATATCCAAGAAGTTGGTTGACTTTCAAGTACCAAAATCACATTCATCTGATGACCTGTAACTTGTCAGCTTCATAACTTGAGTTCTAGAAATCCAATGAATGACTTCTAGTACTTAAAAGAAAGCTAAGAACATGATCTACAAGTCTCATATGGATATCAAGATAAGATGAAACTTGTATCTTGAGTTATGTGGTATTGAAGTTAAGCACTGAGATAGGGGATTTTACACTGTCAAGCTTAGAAACCCTAGCTCAATAACTTCTCACACTCTTGAATATTGATGAATTGACCTTGAAATGATCTCTTAGGTGTCTCAAAACAACATTCCATGATCATAGTGGCTTGGAATTTAGTCTTAATCTCCTCAAGATTAACAGTTGACTCAGGGTTGACCAAGTGAAAACCCTAGTGGCACCACCTTTGGTTGTGGCCTCTTGTACCTTGCATAATGACTTGAATAAGCTCCATGATGACTCTCAAGACCTCTTATGAGCTCCCACAATGCTTCATACCCATATCCATGGATTCACAATCATCTGATGATCTTTTCATAGCCCCTAAGACAGGAGGGAAACCACATACAACTCTTTGAGTTTTCTGATGATCTGATGAGGATGATAAACCTTTACCTACTTGAATGAAGCTTCTTGATTTGGCTTGGCCCTTTGATAACCTCTTCTTGATGGGCACAGACCCCCTGATCCCCTGTAAATGGATGATGGTATGAAAATGCTAATGCAATGCTATGCTGGTGCTGATGCTATGCAAATGAACAAAGCTAAGTGAAGAAAAAAGTTAGGCAAATTTTGGGGTGCAACAGTGTCATTTTTTTTAATTATACATTTTTTGTGCCGGGCTTTGCTAGTATGCGAGATTCACAGGTGGTGTGAGACAGTAGTACTACCGAGGACGTTGTTGGAAAATGTTTTGATGGTTTAGTTTTTCTTGACTTGATGAAGCAGATGAAGAGATGGATGAGTTTGAGGTGTATGGGTTTTTAGTTGGTAGTGATGAATACGAGGAAGATAGCGGTGAGGAAGATGATTCTAAGCAAACACAAAAGAAGAAAAAGAGAAAGTTATTATATTTTCCTACCCTTTAATGCAAGTTCACATTTCTGCATTGCCTAGCAGTTATCATTGACTCAATACTGTGTTTTTATTGCCCATTTTCAGGAGATCGTCAAAAAACATTGTTCTTGATGTCAGATTTTATAGTGGACGAAGCGCCTGCTATCTATGGGAAGGGAGAGTCTCTCAAGTATACTATATCACGATTAACATGAATAACTGGATAATATACTGATAGCTTTTATAATGTCTTGCTGTTATTAGCCCTTCAATATTAGATTTTGTTGTTGACTTATAGACCAAAAAAGTTTAAAGGCATGAAACATTCATCTTCGCTTTCAAAAGAAGTCAAACGTAGATCTGGCAAGTCAGACGATGATCCTAAAAATATGGACGTCGCTGGAGCGGGTAACTCTATTGCGGATTCATACTTACCTGAGAGGATACAAGTTGCTTTCCGTTTTAGATTCCGTTTATTGCCATGTACTGTAAAGAACAATGCCCCAGTCTTCTGAGAGATAGTAAACAGAATGATTCGGAAAGCCCATTATTGAATGATGGTGAGGGAAAACCTAAACTGAACTGGCTCAAGGTAATTTTAATTTTCTGTTTTTATTGATGGATGGTATGAATTAAGCTAGAAGTAGTTGTATTTTTTTAAGGATTTATATGTTGCATTAGAAAAAATATAAATAGTTAAAATTGCAAATTAAGTGAATTAATAAACTTAATGCATAGCGGTATAAGAGCATGACAAAATGGGTCCATTTTGATTGTAGATACTCTGGATAATTAAGGAATTGGATATAAAATGGCTACATCTTCAGAAACGAAAGAGCATGCTCCAAAGATACTATAACAAACATTTTGAGGATGAATGCCAAATGTCTTTCCTTGCCGAGGAATCCAGTTTCCACAAGCAGATTTTTGACTCGATCACCAATATGCTCGAGAAGGCGGAAACAGAGAAAGAGATTGATGATGTGGATATGAAGTTTAATTTGTATTTTCCACCAGCTGATGAGTTCTTAAGTAGTGGTTATAAAAGGCCTCTGATGAAGACATAGTATTCCGATTGCAGAAAGGCAGGATTGTCTTCACTTGCTAGGAAAATTGGAAGTCCTGAGAAATTTATTTCTCTAGTTACTCTTAACAAAGTGGTAAATTTTTGCTTTCGTTGGCCCGTGCTTTAATGTTTTCATAATTCCATTTGTTTTTTTATTGATAGATAACTGGAGAATTTATTGTATACTAGGGAATTGAATGTGAAGAAGATCCAGAGGAATCTCCATAGGAGATGGCTACGATATATATACATGTGAAACTTTTCGAACGTCTGAAGCCGTACTTAAAGGCGATAGGCACATGGTATTCTGTTTAGTTTATCAATTGGTCCTCCATAAGTTTATCAAATTAATTTGTCATAGCTTAGCTTACACTAAAATTTTATTTTTCAGGCTTCCTTGATGTTAAGCTGTGAGATACCTTTCAGGAAACATGTCCGCAGCATATTTATGGATAAGGCTTTAGTATCAACTAGCCCTACATTGAAAGGAAATATAGCAATAGATTCCTTTCATGAATTTACTGGATTTAAGTGGCTGAAGGACAAACCTCTCTTGAAGTTTGAGGATTCTCAATGGCTTCTCATTCAGAAGGGTGAAGAAGAGGAACTTCTTAAAGTTGAAATAAGTTGCCTGATGATGCTGTAAAGGAGTTGATGGCGATCTTCAACGATGCTTATCTTAAAGACACTGAAGGAACATCTACTCAACTTTGGAATGAGCAGCGTAAATCAATTATGCAGGACACTATTTCAAGCATTATTTTTCCTTCTATGGAGAAGGAAGCACAGGCATTGTTAAATGCTAAGGCCAAAATCTGCTCATTAATGAAGTATGGGATACAGTTTTGGAACAGAATTTTTGTTGCACCGTATCTAAACAATGACAATGCTGCTGCACAAGAGCGGGGAGTAGTGGCATGTTGCTGGGGAAATGGTAAACCAGGTACCACATTTGTCATGCTGGATTCTAAAGGCGAGTTGGTTGATATAATGCATGTCGGGTCACTGACACTGCAATCTCAGAATTTCAATGACCAGCAACGTAGAAAAAGTGACCAGAAGTGTGTCCTCAAGTTCCTAACAATCCATCGACCAAAGGTTATTGTACTAGGAACTGCCAATGTGACCTGTATATGATTGAAGGAGGACATAAATGAGGTGAGTTACTCTTACTGGATGAACCATTTTTTTGGTACTATTCGAGTTTAATCACATCTTACCATAAAGAGTGATTGGATTTTATGGTTGGACTGAAACTGTACCCTGAGCTAGCGTGCATGCATCTCAATAAGAGAAAATTATATTCTGGTAGATTCCAAATGAGACATTAATGCACTACACAAATTTTTTTGGTGCATTTCTTTGATTTTTATTTTCTTTCTAATTATCTTGGGTTGCACATCATATACTATTCAGATTTTCTGAGTTTCACGTGGAGGAAGCAAGTGCCTTGCTGAATGCTAAGGGTAAATTTCATAGTTAATACAGTATGCAATGTTAAGGCTAAACCATTATGAAATTTTGCAGGTTTGTCCAAGTTATGGCTCACACCCTCCACTATGCCTGCTTTGCTTAGTTTTTTTGCGTGCTCTTGCAGGCATATTTGAATAAAATTGCTGCCCCTAATATTATGCATGAGTTGGGACCTTTATTTTGTTAGTAGCTGATGATGGTTGGGGGTAATAGTTGCTGATAACGGTGGTTGGGGGGTAATAGCTGCTGATAACGGTGGATCTGGAAATGATAATTTTGGATGGAGTTCCGCTCATGGGAAGAATGCAACCTCCTTTGGCGGTGAGAGTGGATGGGGAGCAACTGGTGGTAAAAGTTGAGGTGGAAATAGTTCTAACAAAGAAAGCAATACAACAGAAGGTGGCTGGAGAGTCACAACTGGATTGGCAAATGAAACAGGTGGCAGGGGTAATTCTCATCTGGTTTGCATATGCATTATATATGTGACCATGTGAATACTTGTGTATGTGTTGCTTGTGTATGTGTTGCTTATGCATTATATATGTGGATTATTTCCTTGGAGTGGATTATTTTATTTTAGATCCTTCGAATAATAATCTTATTTAAGTTATATTATTTTTATTTTGCAGGTCATGAATGATAATATCAATGAAGATTTTGAATTTGAAGATGAAGAAACGTAGATGTAGAGATGTAGATGTTTAAGTTTAATTTTATAGATTAAAGATGTTATTTTGACTATGAATGATGATTGACATTGGGATATGTAATTTGAAGATGTTTTGTTGACATTACGATATGCAATTTGAAGATGTTTTGTTGATTGTGAATCAATGGACATTATGATATTTAAATGGATTATTTCATGTATTTTTTTTAATGCAGGATCATTTTAAAATTTGTATTTGAATATTATTATATAAAAAAATTGTGAATGATGTTATTATCAGGTTTATAAAATAAAATAAAATTTTATTTTATTAAAAAAAATATTTGGTTTATAAAATAAAATAATTTTTTTTTGCAACAGTTATAAAGTGTGTCTGTAGTAAAGAAGGCGTTGTTATAACCTATGAAGAAAAAATGAATTTAAGCCTCTATTAGAACGGTTTAGAATAGGCTACGGCTAAGATACGTTGTTATATTCCATAAAATAGTCGTTTTCTAATAAACAACAATTGCAATGGTTTAAATTTGAAAACGGAGTCCAGCCGTTGCTGTTCTAGACCGTTCTCTATATAAAATTACAGCAGCGGCTCTGAACAAGGCATTGTCGTTGGCTAAATAACCATTCCTAAAGGCTAAAACAACGTTTTGGTTTAAAACGTCCTGAAAACCGTTCTCATATGTAAAGGCAACGACTTTTTTGGATTTTGCAACAGTTTTTTTGTGTTGCTGTATATTCAAAATGTTGTAGTAATTTCATATGTTAGTCCAATAGATCCATTAAAATTAAGGTTGTTGAAAAAAACTATGAACCGAATTGAACCGCCCGAATCGAATTGAAGTTAAAATAATTGAACTGTTATGTTTAGTTAGTGAATTGAACCACGTTACATAAAAAAATTCTAGAATCGAACCATATTTTAAGTAAACGATCCGAAATTGAAATCGAACCAAATGAAAAAATTACTAAAAACAAGTTTAACTTTTTAAAAAAAAATACAAAAAATGGTTTAACGATTCGGTTCGGAAAAAAATTGTCTTTTAACAGTTCAGTAGGGTTCGACATTTTGAAATGGTTTACCAAACCAATAATTTTGGTTCGGATCAATTCTTAATAAATTAAAACAGTTTGGTTTGGTTCTAGAAGATTTTTAGCATTGTTTAGTTCAGGTTGATTTATTTTTCTCATTAAACTTTACCATGAACAACCCTAATAAAGATGGTAGTATAATTTAGATTGAGGAAACACCTTGTAACATTTTAACGGATACTAAAATAGATTTGGTCCATTATAATTTATTAGCCCTAATTTCAAAAATAAAGATTCATCAAGAATAAAACATTATCGACTAAACTTTAAATCATGAAAAATAAAAAACTTTTGTCTTAAAACTTTTGTGTATTATAAATATATTAAAAATCTAAATTGTATATATCATTTGTATATTATTGCATTATTTAATAGACTATACATTAAAGTTCAAGTCTAGCTATTATCAATGATATTTTCAATACATAATAAGTGTAGAAGAAAAATTATACGATCATATATAACATTTATTTATTAAATTAGTTTATTATAGTTATGCAATGACGAGATTGTTTGTGGTATCCTTTACGAGAAAACTAAAGTATGAATACCTGTATACTTAATCATACATTTTTAGTTTTATTGATATTTTTATAAAAACTTAATGGAAAGAGAAACATACATTAAATTTTAGAATAAGTTATTAAAGTACAAATATTATGACAAACAAATATAGTTATATGCTTTGAAATAATATAATTATAATGATTTAAGAAAGAATAACACAATTATTGTCAAACTTAATTATTCCTCCTTCATAAAGTACTCACAATAATTATTAATGCACTTTTTAACCGGATGCATAAACATTTCTGGACACTCGTCTATATTTTCACACTTATAGAGAGCTGCATTTTAAAATATTAAAAAATATATATTAGTAAAGGATGAAATAATATTGTGTATAAAATAAATGAAAAAAATTTAAAAATAGTGTGAAAAATAACAAACTTTTATGAGTTGTAGCAAGAAATATAGAAAGAGAGAAGATCAAAGCATAGACAAATATGAGAAATTGAGCCATATTTTTTCTCCTATGCATGTAGTACTTAAAACATTTCATTGCTTTATAAGTAACAATTTCATTCTTTGTTAACTTCAATTAAATATTTTTTTAACATTAAGGAGTTGCAAAAAATAATTTATAAAATAGAAATTAATATTAAATTTCTCTAATCAATATGTCATGTTTACCCTTTAGATTACCCTTTTAATCACTTTCATGTGTACCCTTTAGATTACCCATTTAATCACTAACTTAAATAAAGATCTTACATAAAAATCTTGATGATCAGAATTTACTATTATTAATACTAAATTTCATTGTATATATTTTACCCCATTGGTAAAATAAAAGGGTAAAATCTAAAAAGAGAAATAAGACAAATAAATGCTGGAAAAAGATAATTAATTTTATAAATAATGTAGTGGCAACATATTTATTTTGGATGTGATTGGGAGACTTTAAATTTTAAAGAATGGGTCTTGAGTCATGACTTAACCTTAATATATTTGGATTAAAGTTTTTCAGAGGAAAAATATAATTTCACAATTGATCGGCTGCATACTAAAATATGTTAATAGTGAGTTTGATATAAGATAAGATGATTGTGAATTTATGTGCTAGCAGGTTGTATGCAACGTTTGTTGATCATGATGATTTTAATGATGACAATACCATATGTTAAATGATTTAATGTGAAGTCTTCATATATTAAAAAATAGCAATGGTAAAGATATTCTATTTAGATAAATATGTTATTTTGTAAGATCAAGTCAAATTCAATGAGGACGGCACCTAAGGTTAAATGATGTTTAGTGAAGTTTATGATGATCTCTTGTTCAATGATCCTCGATGATGATATATATAAAAAAAAAGCTATATTAAGCTTCATCAATTATTAGAAGAGTCAAGTTATAGATGAAGTGTTAAGTCAATGATAAATTAAGCAAGAGAATTTGAAACTTCAAGGTTGTGAAAGAGAGGAAGTGTGAAAGCTCGTTTGGTCATGTGTCTAAGTGGTGAGTTTAATGTAAAGGTATAAGAGTAGTTGTAGAATTATTAAGGATGCTCACACACACACACACACACAAATTTTCTTAAGCCTATCTCAATATACTAAAACACCTTAAAACTACTAGAAAAACTATCAAGGTTTATCTGGAATTGACTAATGAGTGTTCCTAATCAATTAGGAAGTATTTCACACAACTTATTCGATTAAGGACGCAGTCCAATCGATTAGAGCAAGTAAAAGTACTCCTTAATCAATTAGGTATACTCTTAATAGATTCAGTCTCATAACAATTGTAGGGTTTCCTTGTTGGTATTTAGGTTGCCATCATTAGAAAGCTCTTAATCGTCTACAACTATGGTCAATCGACTAAGTCATTAAAAAGGTCCATGAATATTTTTC